CCCCCCTGCCTGTGATCACCTCTATGCAAACCACCTTAGACAAGTCCATAATCTAACCCCCAAGGAAAACTCCCGGCAACCCTGACACCACACAAATCCAGGGTAACAGGCCCGAGCCTCTCGCTAGGGCAGCGGAGTGGCATTTTGTAGCAGTGAGGTCTCTGATTCTAACCCAGCAGTCGCTTCTCCCTCATTCATTTGCCGCTGGTGTCTGTCACAGAAAGGGAGAGACAGACTGTGTTGAGGCTGGGCCGCCTCTCAAAAATCTGGCGTTGACAAAAAGGACATCCCAAAACTTTAAAGACTTTGCCTGCCAGGAGGTCAGCTTGGATGCAAGCATGCATGGTGTGCATTCAAGTGAGGTCATCCTTCTGCATCCAGATCCTGAAGGAGGCCATAGGCAAGCAGCAGAGACAGGTGGCTCACCGTCTACTCGTGACAGATTAGTAGTGGCTCCAGGCTGTGAGGATCCTCCAGAAGAAGGCCCCACAGACGCTTGAGAGCCTTGTGGGGTTTTTACTCAGGTTTCCCCTGAGAGACAACTTTCTCTCTCGTGATTCATCCTCTCCCTCCCCAAAAGATTCAGGCAGGGTTTAGAGGCCAGGGGTCCAGGCTGGGCAAGAGAAATCTCACCTTGGACATGAGGTGACTCTCAGAGCACAGCTTCCATAGAGAGACGGGTCCTTCTTATTCCAGGAAGGGCAGGAGCAGGGGGAGAGGTCTCATCAGAGCCAAGCAGGTCTGACCAGAGAGGAGCCCTCCAAAGAATGAGCGTGAGCTCTGCTACACGAGAGAGCTGCCGGTATCCCCTCTGGGGTCTGACCTGCTCCCAAGAGTGGTGGCTTCTTTCAGGTGGACCTTGCAAGTGATGATCCCCTGTCCCCAACGTCTTAGCAGAAGGGACTGCACAGTCAATACAAGGTCCTTGAAGCAGTGGTAAGCAGGATTGTACGGTTATGATGAAAGGAAACTCACTCATAGCAGCAGTTACTTGGCACTGGGAAGGAGCCGGATATAACAGTACATCAGGCAGCAGCCTAGGTCCTAGCTGCAGAGAGCCCAGGAGTCTGGGGCTTTGGTCTCTCTGTCAGTGGATGGGGAGGCCAGAGATACTGCAGACTCCAGGCTCCGTTCCTCCATCCTGACGTGAGTTTATGGTCACAGGAATTGCTGGGGCAGTCGGTGTCTCTTTGGCCATGCTCAGGTGATAAGGGAAGATGCCACCGGTTTCGTGGTAGCACAGCGTGATGCAACTCTTGGCTTGCCACCCATAGGAGATGTCGTGTTGTCTGAATGGGAGCCCACCCATAATATTCATCAGGGAGAAGTTGCTGCTGGTGTTAGAACCAGGACTAGCCCTCCAGAGCCCTGCAAGCTGTGGTCTGCTCTTCCAGTTGAGGCAGGTGTTCCCATTAGAGCCTCCCACCCCCAGGCCCCTGGCAGGTGTGTAGCGATGCACTCATCCAGACTTCCTGACATCGGTTCCCCTCAAGGTAGCTGCTCAGAGCTCTCAAAACAGCCCACAGCCCCATGCTGCTAGCAAGTCCTTGCAGAGGATCGCTCTTAGGTGTCTTTTCCTCTCTCTGGGGAGCAGAAGGGCAGCGTCTGTCGCAACTGCCAGGGCTCACTAGGCTGAAACGGCGTGTCCCTTCAGATGAAGCCTTGCTATTTTTTAAGATATGTGTTTTTTTACAACAAACTCCTTTTCTGCAGTGAATACAACCTTGTTCAATGCTTCAGCCCTGCTGTCACCCAGCGACACTAACATGTCTATGGTAAGTAGTTTTATGTGATGCCTATGCCGGGAGGAGGGACACGGAGCTCTGCTAGATGCCCTGGCTTTGAATAGGGGGCCCAGTGTGACCTACCAGTGAAATCCATCACTTACTGCTCCTTCAGGGAAGCTGCGGCTAGCCTCAGTCATCAGTTGACGCACCAAGGTGGTCAATTTGCCATTGTATCTCTGTGGCCAAAGGAGTGAAGCAGCAGCCTGGACTAGAGGGAAGGGTTTAAGAAGAGAGCAGACTGTATCTGGCTAGCTACAGGTGCTGGGCCCATGTAGTCCAGTGGGATGAGGCTGGGACTGGGATCATTGAGTCTTGAGCCTGATTCTCCCAAGGTCCCCCTCCGTAAGGTGGCAATAGTATTAGCTAGAGCAGGGGTGGGCAAAATACGGCCCCCCACAGAGGGACTTTGTCCGGCCTGCAGTAGGTCCATTGGTCCCTCCTGGCCCAGGCGCCGTCGGGCTCATGGCGCATCCTGCTGCCCCTTGGGCGCACAGCAGGGCTGGGGTGGCTCCACAGCTGGACGGCCTTTCTAGGCAGCCCAGGTAGCAGTGGCTCCTTCTGGCTGCTACTGCCACTGGCCCCAGCCCCATGGTACTGGCGGGGACCATGTGCACATCCCTGACCCTGGGCTCCCTGCACCTGTTCCAGACTCACCCCCCCAAGCTGAGAAGAAGCTGATGCTCGGTGTGGGGTAAAAGCAGCCCCTGCCATTCACCGCTGCCGGGTCCTTCTTGTTGCAGCTGCAGCTGCCCAGACCCCATGCCTGGGCTGCACTGTGGCTCCTCTGCTCTGCCAGCACTGTCTTGCTGGGTGGCGGTGATGGCAGCAGAGAGGAGTGGCAGGGCAGCCCGGGCACAGGCTCCAGGTGGCTGCAGCAAGAAGGTCCCATCAGTTGGGGGGGGGGGCTTTTCCCCGACCCAGCAGCAGCCTCTGTCCAGCTGCTGCCACTGCTCAGCATGGGCGGGCAGTCCAGAGCAGGAGCGGGGCCGGCCGAGGTCAGGGCTGTGCATGCCAGTTGTGACTAGTCCTGAGCTGGTCTTTTCCACTGGGCCAAGTCCAGAGCAGGCGCAGGGTGGGCTGGTATCAGAGCAGTGCATGTGTGTCCCCACCAGTACCATGGGGCTGGGGCCAGTGGTGGTGGTAGCCAGAAGGAACGGGACAGGGCAGGGCTAGGGCTGTGCGCTGTGGGCAGTGGCACGTGGGCTCCAGGCTGACTGGCCTGTGACCACTCCCCAGTACTGCCTATGTGGCCCATGAGCCCAAATAATTGCCTGCCCTGGCACTAGAGGGAAAGAGAGGGAGAGATGGATGGATGGATAGATAGGTAGGTAGACAGATAGACAAGACAGACAGACAGATACTGATACCAGTTGTATCTTGGTGAACATGAAGTAAGTAACAGGGCCCACACTTTCCCAAGTAAGGAGTGAAAAAGGTGTCCTGCTAGAGTCCCTTCCCAGGGCCAGACTTTCAGAGGTAGATGCGCTGCACTTCCCAAACAACGGGCCTACTTAGGGTCTCTGAATTGGAACCTCCCTCCCAGATCACAGGCAGGGTTGGAAACTTGGCATGAGTGGGTTCATAATTGTATTCCTGTGTACTTGCCTGCCTGGAGCTGGAGCCTAGGGATCAAGGTGTGGGGCCACATAGTGGAGTGGGATTTTCTCAGGCCTGGGATCAGCAAGTCTTGAGCCTGACTTCCAAGGTCCCCCTCTATCAGGTGGTGATTGCAGTACTGATCCGCTTCCCTCGTGGAGAACAGCAAAGTACCATGCAAACGCAGAGCTGTGCTGTGCCATTTGTTTATGATCAGGGCCACATGCCACAATCAGCCTATGGCACAGTAGCGAGCAGCAATGAGCGTTCTTGGTGCCGTCCTTTCCTGCAACGCGCACCAGCTAAGGGGAAGAGAGGGCTTCTCCCTCCCTCTGGCAGTCAGCTCCAAGAGGGATCAGAAGTGCCTGAGTAATGCTGTCAGGAAAACAGCCAGTGAGTCTTCAGACACTGCTGCTGGCTCAAGGCAGAGGGGAATTGAGGATGAGATTGGCCCTTCCACTGTCCCACCACGTGTCCCCATCCACAGAGTCCCTTCCTGGTTCTCCTGGCTCAAGAGCAGCCCACGGACCAAGAGATAGGCATCGACCTGGGAGTGATCTAGGGATTAAAATGCCCCAAGTGAAGCCAGATGGCCCATAGATGCCGGGGTCACTGTTGTTAAGAATTGGGGTCAGGGTTTTCACAAGGGCGTCACATCTGGGGTTGAAAGCTCACCAAGTGGTCTGCCTCAATGGAGGAGTTTGCTTTCTAACAGGGCCAAGGTTGCAATTGGCAGAGTTGCACCAGCTGCTGACAGGTGAAGACTAGAGGTGCTTGCACCCAGGCTCAGGCTACCTAGCCAGAAAGGAGTCTGTTAATCCATGACTGAAGAGATGATGCCCATCATGTAGTACAAGTCCATGCCTAGCTGGGGTTATTAGAGTCAACCCAGCAATGCCCACCTGCAGCAGGATGGTGGAGCAGGCGGCTGAACTAGTGCACGGTATAGCAATAGCTGTCCTGGCTGTGAAGACTCCCAAGGGATGTCTACACTGCAGTCCAAAGCATGCCAGCATTAGCCACTTGCCCATTTTGCTTCAGTACGATGGGATAGAGTGGCTTCCCTTTGCTGTTGCCCTTCTGCCTGCTGAAGGACCTAGGCAGAGACCACATGGGGCTCGTTGCTCCTTCAGGTCCTCTAGACATAATAAGTGTCCTCAGCGTGGTGGTGGTGGGTAGAAGCAGCACTACAGGAGTGCTTGCGTTGGCCTGCCCCCAAGTACCACTCCCTGTACTAATGGTTATGTCGGTTTCTTTTCCTCAACACATCCGTTCCAAGTACAATACTATTAATATGACAGCTCTGGACTGGACCCAGCTGAGCAAGAAGGAATGCCTGAAGTACGGCGGCAGTCTAGTGGGGAAATCCTGTAACTTTGTTCCCGACCTGGCCCTCATGTCCTTCATCCTCTTCTTTGGGACCTACTCCATGACACTAACGTTGAAGAAGTTCAAGTTCAGCCGCTACTTTCCCACCAAGGTAAGGAAGAGACAAAAGCTGCTGAGAGCTGTCTACAATTTTGGTTGTCGGTAGGAAACACCAGGCTGTTCCTCTCAGAGACAGGAGTCAGTGCAGATCTCCCCCAGGGCGCACCCATCCTGCAGTGACCGACCTTTCGTTCATGGCAAATGTCCATGAAAGTCAGGAGGAGAGGAGGCTCTGCAGGAGTCAAGCTCCATCAGCATGGATGCAGTGCAGGACTTGTCACCTCCTCCCTCCCCCACCCTGACGCCCAAATCCATCAGGGCTCATGCATACCTCCATTTTCATCAGCTGTATGCATACCCACAACGATAGGTCATGCAGAATCAGCTCAACTCAAGCTGCCTCCAGAGGTAGAGAATGCAAAGGCCAGAGCCCGAGGTGTGTTCCCACATTTTGCTTGCTATATTTGATCAGTGGACTTCCCTTGGGCTGGGTCTTTCCTTCCACATTTGGGAAGTGAAAGGCATAGCTGTCTGGGATGAGTCACGCAGGGGATGGTGAGCCGCATGGATGTTTGAGTGAAGCCGTGTGGGGTTATTGTCCAGGCAGACTCATGAGATGTAAGACAATGTAAGCTGTTCCTGGGTGACGCCTCTGAGCTGAAGGATGAGAAACTGCCCTTCATCTAACGAACACTGCGAGTCTCACGTGTTTGCATGACTCCAGATAAGGCTCACAGGAGAACGGCCGGGGGTGCTGACACAGGTGCTCTTCCTGGCACCACTACCAAGCAAGAGTTGGGATTTTTTAAGTCTGTAGCAGTGCACCAGTGCAAGAAGGGTGTCAGACTCTGGTGTGTCCTGGATGTTGCAGAAATACCTCTGTGCAGGACCTGTGTCATCCCTAATGTGGTTGCATGGTCGGATACACCCAGCCCAGCCTGTAACTGGCCTTTTCCTCCCATCCCCATCTGCCTCCAGGTCAGGGCCTTCATTGCCGACTTTTCTATTGTCTTCTCCATCCTGCTGTTCTGTGGAATAGACGCCTGTTTTGGACTGGAGACCCCGAAGCTGCATGTCCCCAGTATAATTAAGGTGTGAATATCACAGTCTCAAAGCTCTTCCCTCTACTAGCTGCGTCTGTCCGGCTCCTTTCCACCTAACGCTCACACCTCTCCTTCCCACGGCTGCTGCATGCATGTTGTCTGTCAAGTCTCAGGTCTGAGAGTCCTGGGAGAAGCAGAAGGGAAGGGGCTCGGTGTCCAAGCCACATTAGTGGTTTGAATGCATGCCTCCCCATTTAAAAAACCATAGAAACATCACCGGGCTTGTCTACTGCAGTGACTTATAATCAGGTCCCAGACAGCTGGATGGCACATGCATAGGATTTTTGTGCACACCATCAAAATACCGAAGGAGATACGGTTTTTGGAATGGTTTCCATTACATACTGTGGGTGTGTTTCGCCTGTAATTATCCAATGCTCCTATGTACTTTGGGATTTGGTCAAGGCAAGATAGTCCCAGTAGTGAAGGCTACTCAGGGGAGAAGTAATTTTTTCCCCCCTAAAAATGAACCTGAAAACATGGGGGCAACTTACAGGCAGGAACACTATCATTCAGCGTTGGCTGGTCTGATTTACCAACAGTCCCATCCTTGGCAGGTTTCTCCCAAGCCCGTCTTGCCTGGCAGTCCAGTCATGCCTCCAGAAGTAGGAGCATCTCCTGGCAGTTGCTGTACAAATGAGAGCAGGCAGTGAGCAATCAGGACTGTATGACTGTGTGTGGATGGTCCAGTGGTTATGAAGTGAGGGCGGGGGTCAGGAGGCTTAATAACAGCCTTAAAGAGTATACTCTGCCCAGACACACCAGTTACAGGGACCCTGTGAGGGCCTGGCAGGTTTAATGTTATCAAGGATGGCTTAGGGAGCTGAAGCAAAGCCCGTGGGTGCAAAAGGATATCAAACAATGACCAGTCTTGGTGCTCTGAGAAACTAACTCTCAGGTGCATGAATGCAGTGACTGAGACAATATCTTTTCGTTCTCTGATTAATATTCTGACCATGCCGCTCTTCTTCCCTTTTCTTTTTGACGTACGTCTCCCACTCTTTCTCTGTAGCTTCGTAAGCTTATCAGTGACTTCTCTATCTTTGTGTCCATACTAATGTTTGTCGGTCTCGATCTGTATTTTGGAATGAACACACCCAAACTACAAGTGCCTACGGACTTTAAGGTAAAAGAAACAAACAGCCTTTTGGAAATACCTCTACCCCTTAGAAAGTAATGGCACAGGAATGAATTATTGGCTGGGGAGGGCAGTGGCGCGGCCTCGAGCCAGGTCTTGTCACCAGGACCATGGAGTAGGAGGGTCCTTGCGTTTTGGAAGAAGCTAGTGGTTCAGTCTGGGTGTGGACTAGGTTTGTGCTAAAAATTCAGGGCCGGGGGGGAGAGGTACTGAAATCTCTCCAGCTCTAGCAAGCTGCTAGTAGCGATTTTGCATGAATGTCACCATCTGATTGGACAGACTAGGTTGTATGGGAGATTTCCAGCCTGGAAAACTCCTCCTGGTAGTGGGTCAGAGCCAGAATTAAAACCTTCAGGGGTGGGCGCAGGCTCTGAGGCGTTCAGACCCAGGTAAAGCAAACATGGTACAAGATGGCAGGAACTTGTGTGGAAAGCCATGAGCATAGAGCGTGCTTTGACTCTTGCCCCATGGTCCCTGTGGACTACCTCTCTGAGATGCCATACGCGCGTAGCCAGATTGCACGCTGTTATCGTTCCTGATGCTGAAATAGTCCGACCTGAAAGCCTGCCCTAACCCTGGTCACGGTTGCCTTTTCAGCCCACCCGCCTTGACCGAGGGTGGTTTGTGTTCCCGTTTGGCAAGAATCCATGGTGGATCTACTTGGCCAGCGCGCTCCCCGCTCTCCTGGTCACCATCCTGATCTTCATGGACCAGCAGATCACAGCCGTCATTGTCAACCGGAAGGAGCATAAACTGAGGGTGCGGCTTGGGCGATGGCGCAGAGTGGGTGCAAAGCTCTTCCTCTCCTGGGGCCGAGGCACGGCCAGGAGCTGGGCAATGACGTGGTCCCTGGCAATGCGGTGCCTGGCCAGGGGAAGAAGTTATGCCTGGGCGGGCCCCCAGGGTAGCGGAGGGTGGAGACACCAGTTGCACCCGGGTCAGAATACAGTGCTGGCAAACTCCAGGGCTACAGAGGTCTGTAGCTGCCTTTCTGCCCAGCAGCAAGGGCCTGCCTTGTGCAATGTTTGCCAAAGAGGTGCAGTAGTTTGTCCGATGCATCTGGGGCAGGGATGCCCTCCAAAGCATGCCCTGGGAAACAAAGAGCTCCCAAGTCCTGGAGGGACAAGGAATGGCAGCAGAATTTGTGGGGTTGAAGCCAGGACAGTGGTAGTGACCAACGGGTAATCAGAACACGAGACCATAAGAATTGCCATGTACTGGGTCAGACCATAGGTCCGTCTGGTCCAGTCTCCTGTGTCACACGGTGGCAGAGAGAGGACACTGGAAGGGAGAGAGAACTGGGTCTGACCAGGATTTTTCCCACTGTTTCACTCTCCCTTGCAGCCTCCAGCATCAAAGCTCTAGGATGTCCTGATTCAGAGGCCGTGTCCCTCACTGCCATGATCAATAGCTACCGAGGCCCCTTTCCTTCAAGAACGTGTCCTGTCCCGTTGTGAATGTAGCTGAACTGTCAGCCTCCACTGCATCCGAGTGCAGCGAGATCCATGCTTTAATGAGTTCCTCAATTAAATGATGTGTGAGGCCTTATGACCGGATAATTCTGAGAGGTTGCCCAGCATCCCAGGCTGAGAAACGGTGGCTGCTTTGTTTGTGGTGCAGATCTTCCCATCCAGGCTTAAAGGCTAGAAAGATGAGCTCTGTAGATATCAAGAAAATGAAGAGCAGATGGGCTGGGAGGCCCCTGGTCGTAGGGCATGAACTGGCCCTAATGCACAGTGTCCAGAAGCAATTCCCCCCCACCCTAACCCAGGTAGAAGATTCCCCAAGTCTCTGACATTTTCCTCTGCTATGGTTTGAGGTGAAAAACTAGTGGATTTCCCTGTTTCTGAGCAAATCAGCCCTGCAGCAAAGGTCAGACTGGGGAGAACCTTGTTCGCTGTGGTTCTGCGCGCTCTGCTGTGCTAAGAAACTCAGGGGAATTGGACCCCGAGGGCCCCTGGACTTTGGAGGGAGTCGCCTGCTGACCTCCCTAGCAGCATTGCCAGGTGTACAATAATTATCATATTTGTATGATCATTTCAACCCTTGCATGATGTAGGATCAAGTGTTCAGTAAAAGTGTTCAAAATGTACCATAATTTATGAGGCAGCTGACTGATGCAGTGTATGCAAAACCCAAGTCACTCTCAGGGAATCTTAATTGACCTTTGGGTTTGCTGTCAGCACTTCCGTATGATTGCTTGCCTCTAAATAAAGAAATGCTTCAACTTTGATGGCCCATTTCTCGCTCCCTGCCGACTTAAACAGTGAGCAGTATAAAGTAAATAAAAAGAAGACTTGTTTGCATAGGTATTTGCATACTTATTTGCATTTTTTCAGTGTATGATACTTTTTCAGCAATTGGGATAATTTTAAGCTTCCAATACAATAATTTCATATTGTAGACCTGGTAATGCTGCTAACTAGGGCTGCTGTCGAAAATCCCAGCTGTAATGGTGGGCATGTTAAATGGCTCCCCTGCTTCAGCAGTGAGGATGGGAGCTGGCGTGCCGTTTCTAACTGGACCCGTCCGGATGCTGTCTTCCAGAAAGCAGCAGGCTACCACCTGGACCTGTTCTGGGTCGGGATCCTGATGGCCATATGCTCCTTCATGGGGCTGCCCTGGTACGTGGCGGCCACCGTCATTTCCATCGCGCACATTGACAGCCTGAAGATGGAGACCGAGACCAGCGCACCAGGGGAGCAGCCGCAGTTCCTGGGCGTGAGGTGAGGCCTTGTGCTGGAAAGGGATCCACAGCAGCACTACAGGTATCTGGACTTGTCCATTTCTGTGGTCATAAGGACCAGGATAAGGAGGAATGGACCTAAATGGCAGAGCAGGACCCAGAGTGGCTGTTAGGTGGGTTTCTCTCACAGCAAGGATGGTTCAGCAGTGGAGCAAATACCTGGAGTCGCTGCACAGTTTCTAGCGATCAAAGTCCAAGTGCAGGCATTTGCTGGGATGGGTCATGCAAGGGTGAAGGCTGGCTTAAGCCGGGGTCGAACCAGAGGACCGGCAGAGGTCCCCATCAGTCATATGGTGCTTGTGCAGGTGCTGTGGTTTGGAGGGGGAAAGCCAAGGGTGCTCACTGTCTGGCAGTCTGCAGGTCACGTAGATCCCGAGGCTGATTTTTTTAAGGAAAATGTTTCATGTCCAAAGTCAAATAAACCAAATCAAGTCCAAATCCGTGAGTTATTCAAGAACCACATGTAGCCCTAATACTGGCAAGATTCCTCCACCCCCGCCTGGGGCTTCAGATGCCTCCAGATCCTTTGGCAGGCATCCTACATGCAGGCCAAACCTGGAAGCTTGGGGTTCGGGTGCCCCCGAGTTTGGCTTGCCCTCAGCCATATGGCTGCAGGAGCAAGCTAGAGAGGAGTCGCCTATTTCCACAAAGTCATCATGTAGCTGAGATCCTCCTGCTGGAAGCTGGCCAGTGGGAAGCTAACTATGAGGCTGTCATAGGGAGTCCTGTCCGGGTGCAATCCTCCACTACACAGTGCCTCTTTAATTGCATTACCTTGGTCAGGGTGTTTCCCCTTCCACCATCGTGGTCATGGTGTTTCTTCTGCCAGATAGGAGAGCGTGCCCAGCATGTCACGGCATTGAGCTACAGAGCTAGCTAGAAAAGGCTGCGACCCAGCAAAGGGGTCCTCAGAACAATATGCCGAGCCTCTATTCCCTCTCTGCCCCCAAGCCTCTTTGCAGTTCCCCCAGGGAGACTTTCCACTGCCCTGGTGACTTTTGTAGTCCAAGCATTATGCCAAGGGGCTGTCAGTCACTCTGTGGCTAGAGTTGCTCTTAGCTTGTGACACCCGCTTGCCTATAGGACAGGAGCACGCCTTTGAAACTGGCTCCAGTTATGTGAGGTGATGACTTTAGAGAAGCTCAGGGGCCCTCCCAAATATTTGCAAGCTGGGACTCTACAGGAGCTGAGCGAGGGCAAGACACCCTTGGCTGGTGCAGAACTGGCTGGGGGGAGGTTGGAGTTGCAGAGCAACATGGAGCTGCAGTGGAAGGCAAAACGGTGTTTCCCAGAGAGACTGTTCGGCAGGGAGCAGAGGGAAGCAGAGAGCATGGTTGTCACAGAAGTGGAACAGCAGAGGGTGTCCGTCCATCCCTGCGACTGGACATTGCTCTGTAGCAGTGAGGTAGAGGTGTGTGTAAGAGGCGTCCCCGTGTTGGCTGTAGCACTGTACCAGGGAAGCGCAGGGCAGACAAGGCTGTGTCTCTCCTGGAGGCTCCATTTCCCTCTCTGTCTTTGCTCTTTGGTAGGGAACAGCGAGTCACTGGGATCATCGTCTTTGTCCTGACGGGGATATCTGTCTTCTTGGCTCCAATTCTGAAGGTAAAACTTACGCCCTGCTCCGCATTGCCCTGCACCTGGCGGTCAGGCTGGGTACTTGTGAGCTTGTGGAGCAGGGAACAGAGCTGGGCTGAACCAGCCTCAGCTAAGTCATGGTGTGTAGTACAGGGGATACCTCTTATTAATCTGCCCTTGGCATAACGATGGTGGTGAAAGGGGCACGAGTCTCTGAGCCTTGCACTTGGGCTCTGTAGCACAAAGGGTAGGATGTGCTCTCCTCTCCTGTGAAGGTGCTGCAGGTCTCTGTTAAAGTCCACCCTCTCCACCCATGCATGGGGATGACAAAACCTCTAATCCCAAGCATGGTGGTGGGGTGACATCGTGGGGCACCCAGAGCCCCGCAGCCCCTCCTCGGTCCGCTCCGAAGTGTGGGCATTGGTCACTGGCATGCATGAAGGACACCCTCTCAGTTGTGACAGCAGGGCTGGGACTCACGCTCGCAGAGCCAAGCCGTTAAAAAGCAGGGGGCTTGTTGTAGTTTGAAGGGCCCGAAGGCCGGCCCTTCTGGGGCTTCCTGGCCAGGCTTACTGGATAGTTGCAAAGCATTAGGGCTTCCTAGGCCCTGAGCCAGGGTTTTGATCCAGGTGAGCAATGCTAAGCACAGTTGAACCTGACTTAGTGGCAGTTCCCCTGAAGTCCAGGCTTGCAGAGCCCCAGGCAACCTGTGGCAAAAGGTCCTGCCTCTGGGGGAAGCACGGCAATGTGCCAGAGGTGAGCGAGGAGAAGCGCTGCTAGAGATTCGGTTCACGGGGGCTGCTAAGCGCTGTGTCTTTGTGCCCACAGTATATTCCAATGCCAGTGCTGTATGGCGTCTTCCTGTACATGGGGGTGGCCTCTCTCAACGGCATCCAGGTAAGAGCTGCGCCTGGCTTACTGATGGCTTATTCTTTCACGTGCCCTTGCTCCCATTGTGATTGCCATCCTTGGGCCCCTCACCTGTGAAACCCAGGAGCTGAAAAAACCTATTGGTTGTTGTGTGGAGTGGGCTTCAGTGGAAAGGGAATGGATGTCTAGGTCCCGGTCCTCTCTGGGTCCATTCGCTGCTTGAGAGCCCAGCGGGGGCTCGGGGCTCTGCAAGGAAAGCGGGTAGTGCTACCAGGACTGCTGTCTGAGTGCCCGTCTGTCTCGGGGAGCGCCCTCCTGTTCCTCGCCACAGCACTGGAGCCTGTTCCACATAAAGCAGACTGGCAGGAGCACAGCAGGGTGCATGGGATCTCTGTCTCCTACCGTGGGGGCGCAAAAAGCTCTCCCTGGGCTTCTTGTTGAGGTGCCAAGGAGATGGACACGGCCAGGCATGGGGTTTCCAGCCAGGCCTGGGAAGAGAGGCTGAAGCTGAATCGGGCCATGGCTGCTATAGCTACAAGGGTCAGATATGAAAGAGATGTTGGTCTGCAAGCACCGTTGCATTTAGCTGGCTGGGGACCAGTGGTGGCAATCCCCCTCACAATGTACTCCCTCCGGCTGATCTGTGCACGACTGGCCCCTTTCTACCAGCCAGTACCTATGAGGCCACAACCCCCAGCCATCTGTCTGGTGGCGAGGCAAAGCTTGGCAGCCGAGTGCAACTTTTCCAGCTCTTGTCCCCCAGCTCTTGTTCCAGGCTCTGATCCCCCAGGGATGAAGGAAAAGTAGGGGGAAATTGGGTCTCGGTCATTGCAGCAGTCGAAGTGCTGGGTGTAATGCTCCTGACCGTTCCCATGGCCTGTTTGGGAATGGAAAGCAAGGTGGGGCTCAGGGTAAAAACAGGTGTGGTGGGCATTAGGCCGGAGCCGTGGAGGCTGGGTCGAGGCAGGTGCAGCAGCTGTGGCTCTTGGGAGCACGAATCCGCACATGAGGGCTGGTGTGGAGGGACCCGCAGCTGAGTATGCTGCCCTGCCAAATGCTTTGTGCGCAGAGGGGGATGGAGTCCACTGCAGGTCCAGCTTCCACCTCCATCTGGACCCCACAAGTAAGGCATCCACCATAGGGCAAGCCGGCCCATCCGCACCCCCCGCAGTCAGCAGGGCCGTCATGTGTTTGGCAGAAGGAGGTGTCTGTCCCGATCCCTAGGGTCATCAGCAGATGCCTGAGGCTCCCCTCACCCTGGGGTGGGTCATGATGATCCTCAGTAGTAGCTCAGCTGCCCGGTCACCGTTTGTGTGGCATCCCTGCCAGACCCAGGCTTTCCCCGGCATAACGCCTGTCTGTTCCCTTGCAGTTCTGGGATCGCTGCAAGCTCTTCCTGATGCCGGCCAAGCACCAGCCCGACTATGTCTTCCTCCGCCACGTGCCCCTGCGGCGGATCCACCTCTTCACTCTGGTGCAGATCATCTGCCTCGCCGTCCTCTGGATCCTCAAGTCCACCGTGGTGGCCATCATCTTCCCTGTCATGGTAGGGCCCTCCCACTCGCTGCTGGCTCCCAGGGCAGGCCTGGGGAGGCAGGAGCAGCAGGAGTCTGCATGCACATCCCCTTCCTGCCCCCGGTCTGTCTTTGATGTCCTCCTCCTCAGGAGATGGCCCTCATCATGAGGCAATTTAACTTGGCCCTTAATGAAGAGCTGCAAGACCTGAGGTGGTGGGGCTGTGGTCGGGAGGCCTCCTGGCTCCTCCTGAAGTCCATGTTCCTCTCAGAGACAGCACTCAGATGGTGTTGGTACCCTCCAGTCTGCACCTGAGAGGACCCGTTTTCAGTAAAAAAACATGGGGGAGATGTGTAAGTCTGAGGTCTGAAAGAAAACTGAAGTCCCTGGGGTCAGATCAAAACCCTCAAATCAGCTCATCAGACTTCGGCATAGATGAAAGACTAGGAAGGTTGGCGTGCGTGTGTGTGTGTATGCATGTGTGTGTCTGTACATGTGCGTGCGGTGGGTGTAGTCTGGTCTGGTAACAACCAGAGCACCTACATCTTCTCTGAAGGCCTCAGAGATGGCCATGGAGCCCCCTTGGATGGGTTTGACTTCTCTCAGCATCCTCAGACTGGGCTGCCATAGCCTGCCACTGGTTATTGGGGTGTCTGCCCCTCCCGGCTCCAGGAACCAGGGGTCACAGCCTTTTTGTGGTGTAACTCAAGATGAAAACTGGCCAGTTTTCCTCCGGGGAAGCCTGCGGCACAGAAACCTGGCTGCCCACATCAGGGTGACTCTCTCTTCCCCTTTTTCCACCGCAGATTTTGGCCCTAATCTTGGTGAGGAAGATGCTGGACTTTGTCTTTTCCCAGCATGACCTAGCCTGGATTGACAACATCATTCCCGAGAAAGAGAAGAAGAAGGAGGATGACAAGAAGAAGAAGAAAAAAGGAAACCGAGGGGAGGACAGCAGTGAAGATGAGGTGGGCCCACAGTGGAAGAGCCAGGGGGCTTCATGGCCTGTTAGGGTCAGGGCTTCCCAGCTACGTGCTCAAAGGGAGGGGATACGCCCTGTGCATGCCGGGCACGTTTCTCAGGAGGGCCTTGGGGGTCTCTGTCTGTCACGGCGGGTCTGTCGCGAAGTGCGGCTCTGTCTGCGTGGCTGCGCATTTGAGGCAGAAGGGCACTGTAGCTATTGCAAGTGGTGCAAAAGCAGAGTGGTCTGGTCCTCAGCTCGGGGGTGGGTGTTAGGGCCTCTCAGCTGAAGGGGACTGGTGTGGAGGTGGCCCATGCAGACTAGGATGCCAAGGTGTTACTTTCCGGTGGAGGTTGTCACCGGTGTTAGAAGTGTTGAGCCCTGTCCGAAAGGAAGGAAAGCCTGCCTCGAAGTGGGGGAATTTGTCACTACCCTACAAAATATTTGGGACATGTGTGATGTGTCCTCCTGAACCCTGTGTGTCTGTGGGAAAAACAGGGCAGGAATCTGGCTCCTGTTGAACACAGCAAGAGCTTTGCCATGGGCCTCGATAGGCTCATGGTTTGCTTATAAACAGGCTGGGCAAAATGGCCAAAAGTGCCCAAGGAGGGACCAGGGGGGTGTCAGTGCCTAAATTATGTAGGCAGTTTTGAAAGTGGGGAGTGGTTGGCAGAACATGGTGGAGCCCCCAGTGGTGTCCACTGCACTCAGCTCCAGAGATGAGGTCCTTTTTCTTGTTCCTTTCCTGAGAGCTGTTTCAAATTTTTGAACCTCAGCGTGAAAAGTATCCAACCTGGGCACCAAAGGCTAGGACCCTGAAATCCTCAGTGAATCACTCTAAAGTATTCAGAGTGCCCTGAAGTCTCGTCAGGATCCCTGAGAGCCAGAGGTGGTCAGTGCGTGTGCAAATAGGCAGTCATATCGGGGGTCCTAAATGCACCTGTCAGTGCCTCTCGTGAAGGCTCCCAGAGCTGAAAAGGGCAGCCGTGACTATTGAGGCAAAATGTCCTTGGGTGCAGCAAAAGCCTCCCAGGAGCTGGAAGGCAGCAGAGATCTTAGATGCTGAGTCTTTTCCTTTCTGAGAGTTGAGAGGAGACTGTCCATAATGTGCCAAGGAGCCTGACAGGTAATGTGGAGTTGGGTGGGCCATTCCCACCCATGCCTCAGGACAGCGACCTGCTGGAAGGCTGTGGTCCTGGGCTTGCTGGAGCATATTGCATCCGGTGTGGTTTTTCACTAGCGCATAGGTAGAGAGAGATGTCCCAGCTGGGTCACAGCATTTCAGTGGGGAGGCTGCAACCAAGCTGGAAAGTCTACGGTGCCCAGGCTGGATGGGCCAGCTGTGCTGTGCAAGTTGCTCTGAATGCAAGGGCCCTGGGGAATTGCTTTGCTGTGCTGCCTTTCTTCTCCTGGGGGAGGTTCACCTGCCTGTGTTTTTCTCCAGGAAAAAGGTCCTTCTGCCGGAGCACCGCGGTCCGACTGCTCTCCCAATGGCTCGGACCTGGATCGCAGGTAAAAGGATGTGGGACAGAAGTGTAATCTCTCCCAAGGGCATAGAGCCCCCAGTCTGTAGGCATTGGGTGCCTTTGTGGCAGCGGGAGGGCATGGACCCCCCCCAGGAGGGGAAGGCATAGCTCAGGGTACATCCAGACAGGCTGTGCTTGAAGATTTGGGAACACAGCACTGAAGCTGAAGGTGCAACCCTGGGCTGTGCGGGTGGGATTTGTCCTTCTCTAGCATTGTGGCCACACTGCTACCTCACGGGAGGGAGGGGGTTTCTGCAGGGCAGGGGCAGGCCCCAGGCCAGAGGTTCCTGGCTAGAGGGCCTTGCCCTCTGCTCGGGGTCAGACTGATGCCATGTTTGGGGAATTTTACCCCCTGGTCAGATTGGGATGGACTGGGGTGGGTTTCTTCTTCCTGTGTAGCAGGGGGCATGGCCCTCTACCTGCGATCCCTTGAGTGTGTATGGATAACTTTTCATGGAGGCAGGACGTTGGCTGCCATGGCCCCCCGCTCTACTTGTAGCAGGCTCTGGTGTTAGGTGCGTTGTGTCAGGACATACAGGCGTCTTGTGTAGAGTGTAGATAGTTTGTCTGGGGTGGTTTGGACAGGGCCGATCCTGCCCTGGGCAGGGAGTTGGACTACATGTGACCTCCAGAGGTCCCTTCCAGCCCCACTTCTCTATGAATCTGTGATCACCGTCAAGCTTGAGATGTGAAACCAGGGCTGGGGAAAGCATTGTCCTAGGGGGCAGTCTGGGCTCTAAAGGGCTGCGATTCGTAGAGGATTTATAATGACTGGGCCCAAGTGGCTGCAGAGTGAGTCAAGACTGATGGTCCCATGTGCACGGGGGGCAGGCCAAGCAGCCGTTCTCTCAGCACAGAGCCAGGGGGTCCCCTGGCGTGCTAGGTGATTGCATGGGCTGGCACGTTGGCTGGAAATGGAGCTGAGGTGGCAGCACAAGGGGGGCCCATGAGCCTGGCTAAGGTCAAGCGGTGCGAGGAGCTTTGCAAACTGACTGCTTCCTGGCTCCTAGCTGTTCTCTCTGGTGTTGGACTCGTCGCTGTCCTAGGGAGAGCCCAGGTGGGGAATGGCCCTGGGAGCAGTGTGATTACAGAAAAGGAAGCCTGTGCGCCAGGAGCCACGCAGGGGAGAGCGTGGGGTCGCCTGGCAGTACCAAAAATGTGACCAGTTAGTGCTTACTGCAGGTAATGCAAAACTCTAAAACTCTTGGTTCAGAGATGATACCTTTCATTAGACCAGCTAAATTGCCAAAAAGTTGTAGTGGGCACTAGAGGGCACCAGCGTCACATCACAAAGAACCAGGGCCTGGAAACCAGAAGCCAGCCTGAACTGGGGTGGAAAGCAGTGGTGCAAGGGACCTGCTAGAGGCCAGCAGCACTCGTAGGCTGGGGAGGGGATGGGATGTCCATGTCAGACAGCTTCCCCGCCCCCACCCCAACAAGTGCTAAGGGCAGGGGAGTTGGGGCATGACCCAGACAGGGGCACCAGGAGGCCTGCTCCCGTTGATCCCAGCTGTCTGGAAGCTGTGCCTATTCCAACGCGAGGGACGCAAGCCTCATGCTGCCTTGGCCCTGAGATCTGAGACTTGCACACGACGGCTGTAGGATCTTCTCCTCTTGCAGTCCAGGCCCCCTCCATCGAGCTCAGATATCCCCTCAGTCCTGACTGGCCAAAGCCCTCACCCTTCGGTTTTGGAAAGGAGGACGAGGAAGGAGGCAGTCACACAGTGCTGCACATGAGGGGAAGTGGCCTGTCTCCCTGTGGCACTGCTGCCATATGCGTTGGGGGGTGCCCCGGACTCTGTATGTGCATGTGGTGCAGGCTTGGGCCACTCTGTATGTGTGAGCAGTGACTTGCAGGGGACGTGTTCCCAAGGGGCACCTGGAGGGGTTCCTCACCTCGGATCCTGCTGCCAGCCCTCCCATAATGCTGTCGCCACTGCCCCGCAGGGCATGAAATGCCCCAGGAATGCCCCAGCTCCCTTGAAATCATGGGATCCTAGCAGGGACACATGAGTGACTTTAGCAAGGTTCCCACGAGCTCTGTTGACTAGCCCAGTCAGTGGCTGTGTCGGTCACGGCACTGCTGGCAGCATTGGACAGGCAAGACATCTAGCCTCACCAGACAGTGGGGGCTGACCTGGGGAAGTGGCCTGGAGAGGGAGAAATACCGGGTAAAAATCCCCCGCAGCCCCACATGCTTAGATGTGAACCTAAAAGGATCGTTCTTGTTGTATGGCAGCTTTTTCAAGGCAACAGAGGCCGCGTGACTAGGAGGAAGGGAAAGGAATTGCGAGAGGGAAGGTGTGGGCTGGGAAACCTGCCAGCATGGGATCGGAGAGGCCGAGTGCCCAGGCCATTTGTCACTAGGTTGAGCCACGCTCTGGGAAATACACTCCAGGGAAAAATTACACACTGGCAGAGGAGACTGGCTGATGTCCCTGGCTGGAAGTTGGCAGCCTGTGAGGTCTGGCTCGATGCTCAAAGGGGCTGCCCCTTTTTCATGCCAGGATCTATGAGGCAGTAGTGACAGCCCGCCTCCTCCTTGGGGGCCCCTGGCTTAGTAGACTTCTGGTGCAGAGGAGTTTCCTTCCATCCTCACCTGTGCCCCCGGGGACAGGGACTGTTTGATGGGTTGTTGGCAGCGTGTCCTAGCTGGGGCCTCCTTCGGCGCTCTTTGGTCCAAACTCAAGCTGGTCTCAGGGATGCTGGAGACCGTGGGCAACAGCCAAAGGGCAGCTCTGCGAGCATACGCCTGTGTTTGGGGGACATAGGGATAGTAGCATTCTAGACAGGGCATGACGTTGTCACCATGTAGAAGCTGAGAGGTCCTGGCCACTGCTAGAGGAAAGGGTGACCTGCCAGGATGTGCCCTAACCCCCTTGTGCTGTCTTGCCTTCCAGCATCACGCTGCACCTGAAGATCTCCTGCCCGTCCTCCCCTGCTTTCAGCTATGCACGGACCCCGATCTGCACCGTGCCCCAGGTGAAGATCGAGATGGAGTCAGACTCGGAAGACACTGACCCCGAGAAGCCTCCCCGGGACATGGGCAGTGAGACCACGCTATAGTCCCTGGTAGCACCGGCCTGGCAATTCTATGTAAAGACCAAAATGAGCATATTTTTCTACGGGACAAACTGAGGAGAGGAGGGGCCCAGAGGCACACCCCTCCCGTGGCTTTTAGCGTAAGCGATTAGAAGTGCAGTCTCCAACCCATGCCGGGTAGGTGGGAGCAGCACCTGAGGACATAGGACACCACAGGACCATGGGGTTGAAGTCCCCCTGCAATCCCCAGGCAGCTGCTGACATCCGGATGAAGGCGCCAAAGACAGGAGGGTCCCTCCGAGGGTGTTTGGATTCGGGCAGCCTCGGCTCCAAATGGCAGCCGCTCTTCCAGGATCCTCCGTCGATCCAACGGGCCTCCCACCTGCTCTCCTCTCGGGATGCTCTTAGTCCACATCCCCAGTAACTCGAGGCTCCCGAGGGCAGGGTTTGGAGCTGTCGAGGCACGCTCCTCACAAGGGATCTGTGGCATTTGCCCCAGAGGAGGGGGCTCAGGGATCTGAAACGCGGCTTGTAGCAGGGTCTGCTTTGTGCTCCCCACGGCACCCCGCAGGAACCCAGGCCCAAGCTGAGTGAGGGAGATTCCCTGCCTGGGGAATCCTGTTCCCCGGAGAAGCCCTTCCAGCCAGCTCCGAACAACGCAGCGGTGGGCCCCAGCCAGTGGAGGAAGGAGCATCTGCTCTGCAGAGAAACATACTGTGTCCCCACAGAGGAGTTGGAGGGGTGTAAAGGGCCAGGGTTGTGCCAAGGTCCACCTCCAGCCCCATACCAAGCAGGTATAGGTGGGTGGGTACAAGCCGATCCAGGTGAGTGTACTCCTTGCTCTAATGGGCTGTGTTAGAGATGGAAGCCTGCAGGCTATCACCTGTTACAAAGTGTGGGGTCAAAACCAGCTCTGCAAATGCAGTATCAACCTCCCTAGTATGTACGTACCTCAGTGCAACAGGCCAGACATCTGTTTATGGCACACGCAGATGAGTGAGCTGGCGTCCTCCGCCATAGCGGTGACTTCCACCTGAGGGTGGAAGCTTGTTCGTTAGGTTGGCCGAAGGCAGGGTACAGCCGGCACCTTCTAGATAGATGCAGCAGCCCGTGGTAAGCCTCACAGGAGAGCTCAGGTCCTCAACTGCCAGAGTGGCAAACCCTGCTGCCCTACTGAATGTCAGGGATCTGTGTAAATAATTTGTAGACTCAGTCACTAGGTAATTCCACTTGGTGCTGACAATGGATGCCATGTGGCCTTGGCACGCTGCACCTGGAAAAATGGAGAGTGTTTTGTTAGTCTCCCCCCACCCTCCCCTCTGTCTTTTATGAGAGCAAAAACATCAATAGCTAGCCTTGGATGTGGGCAATTACACCTCCTTAAGCCAAAATAAAGTCCCTCAGGCAAAAGAAAACTGCTAAGGTGGCATTTGAGCATGGCACCAAGCAATGCACCTGAGTAGTTTGTGTCTAGTCTGTGTGTTGTGCCTTGGAGTCATGCCAGGGGTGTGCCATTAAGGGCAGATTGGTAGAAAACAGATACACAAGTAGCTTCTGGGGTGCCAGGACAACTGGCTGAGTACAGCAGCAGTTGACCTCAGCACAAGAAATGCTTCTCTGTAAATGTTTGAGGCCAGATGAGCAAAAGAAAACCAGAATCTGATTTCCTATTCAGAGTACCTGTCTCATCTCACTGCCTAACCAGAGGGTGCTCAAACATTGTGAGAATAAGAAAAAACAAAGCACGAGTCCAGGCCTGGACATTAAAGCAACAACCACTTGGCTCTACCTGTACAGGCAATAACTAGCAGAACTTGGACTGCAGCCCATGTACATCTCAGTGTGGGCCCATCTCATCTGTGCTAGATGAGCCATGGTATGATAGACTTGCATGTATTTTTATTTGCGGTAGCTATGGGCACCAGGACTGTCATGTACAGTATTTCACGTAGCCCAAGAAAAGGCATGACAGTTAACTTGAAGATTCTGAGTTGTGGTAGCACAGAGGCTTCTTGCATTTTCCAGTTTCTTTTGCCCTTAGGAAATACAGAAAGGGCAAAGTGCAAGGAGTAACAATTTCAGGGCCTGCTGTGCTTCTGCTTAGCTGTTTGGTATTTGTCATTAACACAACACCAATAAAGCCTGTGTAAATTCTCATTTATATGTACTGTCATAGGCAGAGCACCCCCATTTCATTCAGTGCCTAAAATGCCAGTCAGAATATCTACTGGGATAAAAACAGGCCCTTACTCTTAAGTCTGATGGGAAAAGGGTAATGAGGGAAGTGACTGCATTTTTCCAGTGGTAATCATGCACATCTGAGTTCAGTGCTGAACTGCTGGCCATGAGACCAGCTCTCCCCTAAAGGCACAGCCAGCCTCCCATGCTGCTGACAAAGCCTTGTCCCCTGGCTGTGTAGGCTCCAGTGTTGGAGCGTCTAGCCTCTTCCAAGGGTAGGCTGTTCTTTTTAGACCCAAGACCTTGGCATAGAGAGAGTATTTAGAAACACACCTCAACCTGATATCCACATCATAGCCTGCAGGACAGTAAAGGAGGTAGCTGTTGTGCTGTTTGAGACACCTGCCATTTTAAATTGGCTACAAGCATGTCTAGGTAATGCCTAGAGAAATAGGAGAATTGTCTCTCACAGCCCCTCATTTCCAAGACAGCTGCTGCAACACAAACCCATGGCTGAAGGCCAGGTTGTACCACACTGTCAAGCAGAACATGTGGCATTCCCCTAAGTATGCAACAGGACCCCATCCTCAGGAGTCCAAGAGAATAGATGTCACACCAGACAGTGAGAAGTATCAACATAGAGGGAGTAACCAGATGCTCCCTCCTTGGTGAAAGGTAAGTAATTGTACCATGCAAGCCATTTTTGTTTCAAGAACTTTAATTTGAGTCAACCTGGAGTAAGCACTACCCATTTCTGTGCCTTGCACTGTAATCCTGGAAAGCATGGCACAGCGAAGGCCACTGTGAGCACCTTTGTGCTTTGCAACAGGTAAACAAAACTGGAAAAGCACCAGCACAGCACTGTCTCCTCACCTGCCTGCCAACTAGGAGAGACCAGGGTGACAAGCCATGCCAGCTGATTAGAAAACAGAGGTTTTGCAAGCAAGTAATGCTTTGAAATAACATCTGTGGAAAAAAAGGTCTTGAGCACAATATGGGCTGATACTGTCCAAGAGGAGGCTGAGCCCGCTGCTCTGTAACAAGCTATTAGTAGCACCAGCAAGCACTTAGGAGCCCTTCTTAGTATCTTGGCCGCTCTGTGGAACTGCACTCATCCCACCACAGGATTTCAGAGGCACCCACCTCACCTATGGTCCGCACCATGTAGTTGGCTAGCAGCTGGCTCATCCTGGCAGCCAAGTCACTTGAGCTTTGCACCAGGGGCCAAATTTGCAGTAGGTGCAGTTAAAAAAAAAATGCAGCTGTGCTAGGAATCATTATGCACCACTGGAGCAGCACATGCATCAATACCCTGAAAGCCCCTGCCTGCTAATGCTCTGCCCACAAAAATCAATAGCTAGAGACCTCCCAGGTGTAAGGTCACTGCTGTACCATAAATAAAAATATTGCATGTCGATCGGCCTGCTTTGGGGAGTCAGTTTGGAATGTAGCTGTCAGCAGAGGAGCCCACTGTCACACTGTTAACGCCTCCAGCTCTTTGGGCTTCAACAGTTTCTTTGCAGCAATGATAGTGTTCTTCATCAGCATGGCAACAGTCATGGGTCCCACGCCACCGGGCACTGGAGTAATGTAGCTGGCTTTCTTCTTCACACCTGCAAGAAAGGAAAGGGTGGAATCTAGGACTGGCACATCCCCCAGGTTTGCTAAGATCCTGTCAACACCTATGGAGGACTACTGGTAACCTATTAATAGGACAAATCAAATATAGCCACCCCAAAGGAGGCCTTTCACAGCAGCCTTGAGTGGCATTTAAGCCAACTGAATTAGCCTGTAACAGGCCTCTGCCATAATTAGGTTTGCATGTCACTAGGGAGTAACTCAACACCAGCCACAACCATCTGGAAGCACTAGGCCTGGCCTCAGAAGCAGCTAGGAGGACAGAGTTTAATCCCCACCATCGCATGCTGTCAGGGCCAACTCTGGAGCCATGTAACCAAGCACTGTGTAGTCAAGCAACTGCATGTGGCACCCCAAATGCAAGCAGAGTAAACTCCCAGATGCGGAGTGGAGCAGGGTCCAGGCTGCGCACATTAAAGGGACCAGTCAGAAGTGGGCACACAGTTGCTGTAAAAGGAGCAGAGTCCCCTCTCTGGTCATGGCAGCTATTCTAGAACTACTTGCTGCCTAGTGTGTGCTGTCTGACTGGAATCCAGTCCCTGCAGGAGTCCCCAAATAGGGAACACTCAAATGCCAGCACAGGGGGGAGAACTTCTCAGTGTCAGCACCTGTATCAGCTGCCACACAACTGGGGTTTCTCTCTGTGTCAGAGCACCCCAGACATGCAATACTGGCAAGGCTGCAGATACAGAAAAGTAGCTGCATACCTTCAAAATCCACATCTCCCACCAGTTTGGGTTTGGCCGTAACAGGATCCTGCACTCTGTTGATCCCAACGTCGATGACAGCAGCTCCCTCTTTAATCATGTCAGCCGTGATCAAGTTAGGAATCCCTGAAAGGCAAGACACAGGAGACGCTAATTTTAATGGGGGAAGGTCAGAGCAAGGCCTCCTTTCTGTTTAGTATCACATATCCCTGCAGTGCTGCCCACCAACATGAAAGGAAAGAACTCCCAGGTAAAAATCCTCCTAAGCCCACCCGACCCTCTGTTCAGTACAACTGCAAGTCTTGTGTCCAGAAGGAAACCAGTCTGCAATGTCCCCCTCTTCCTACAGATAAACATGGTAGCCAACTGTCAAGCAGTATGGGTAAGCCCTTATGAAAAGGGTGCATGTGCTTTGTTGGGGGAGGTAGCAATTCTAAGTGTGTTCCAAAAAAAGGAGAGGGCAAGTTCCCCGCACCAGTCCTCCCAAAGGAGGGCTCCATGCTGCAGTGGCAGGGGAAGCCACCTGGCAAAAGAAAAATCATGCAACGCTAAGGCACGTCCCAGTGACAACTCAGAGATGAAGAGTAGCATGGCATAAGCATATGGGGTCTGTCACTGCCTAATGCTCATATCCTGAGCAAGTTCTAGGAGACAGGGCCCCACCTTATCAGGTCCACTAGACCCCAGCCTTGGTAGACCATGTGGCAGGCCAGTAGGGGGTGCTCCTGCATTGAGCCACCCACCTCCCTGCACCCAATCACATTCCAGGCTCAAAGCATCTCCTTGGGGGCACCTCACATCTGGCCAACTGCCCTTCCTGGAGCATACCTGCAAGCCTGAGGGATAATGCCACCACCACCCAAGGTCTGGATTGATCTTGGCCCTGTGGCCTCTGGAAAAAACACAGGCCTAGTAGTCCTTGAAGATACTTCACCCACTGTAAGAACTTGGGGAGCTTCCCTGAGTCTGAAGCACAAATAGTGGTCTCCCTTAGTCAGGCAAACCAAGGGGACCCCAAGGCATAATCTAGGCCTTCTCCCACACAATAAGCATCCCACACTAGGTACAAAGGAGAACTTTATTGCTTACAACAGGGGTAGGCAATGTCTTTTGTCTGGAGTGCCAAAAAAAGCCTACAATACCTACCATGGAAAGTGCCAGCACTCTGGCATGCCAGAAAAACAAAACAAGGGCAGGGGGGTACAAGGCAGGGTGCCCTGCTTGTGCCCCTTGCCTCCCAGACAAAGCCCCTGCCCCCCAGCCCAGGCTCTGTGGCTATCAGCAGCTACCCAGAACCTAGACCAGCTGCAGCCAGGAGGCTGCAAACAGCTGCTGCCTCCCAGCCGTAGACCCAGCCCTCGGCCCTGGGGAGGCAGCAGATACTAGCAATGCTCCCCGCTGTGCTGCCCTCGCACATGCTGTGCTCCGGGTCCTGCTGCCCTCCCCTGGACCCTCCCGAGCGAAGCGTGTGACCCAGAGTGGCAGCGTACAGCGAGGCTGCACAGGGAAGCTTGCCTGCTGCTGCAAGCTCCACGCTGCCCAGGTTGCACTTCCCTTGTGTGCACAGGAGCAGCATGCAGGATTGAGCCCCTTGCTACTGCCCCACCTGCAGGGTAAAGTGTGGCCAGGACAGCGGGGAGCTCAGAGCAGCAGGCAGCTTTCTGCGCCCCTGCTGTGCCCTGCCATGCGGTGGTTCACATGCTGCTCTGTAGAAGCGGCGAGGACAGCACAGCAGGGAGTACAGCCAGTATCTGCTGCCTGCCTGGAGCAGGATCTAGGGCTGGGAAGCAGCTGGGTCCAGGGCTAGAAGGCAGCAGCTGTTTGTAGCCTCGCGGCTGCAGCTGACCCAGGTTCTAGGTAGGTGCTGATATCCATGGAGCCTGGGCTGCTTGCAGCAGGGCTTCAATCCTCCCACATGGCTGCTGGGAGCAGCCTGGCCTCCATGGCTATCAGCACCTACCTCAAACCTGGGCCAACTGCAGCCAAGAGGCTGCAAACAGCTGCTGCCTCCTCACCCCAGCCCCAGCAGTCTCCTGGCCCTGGGCTCTGGAAAGACAGCAGGTGCCAGCACTGCACCCATTGGGGCCAGGGCCCAGCAGCAACAAGAGGCTGGGGCTGTCGGCAGCACTAGGATGGAGCCAGTGGCAGCACTAGGGTGGAGCTGAGGCCAGGGCCACACAGGGCTGGGGCCCGCAGTGGTGGTGGTACCAGCTGGGGCTGGGCCTGTGCAGGGCCAGGGCCCACTGGCAGCACATGGCCAGGACCATCAGCAGTGCTGGGATGGGGCCAGGTCCCATGCAGATCCACATCCATGGCCCCACACAGGCCCCGGCCTGGCAATGGCACTATGCTGGGGCCAGCAGCAGTGAGGGCAGAGGCCAGGCCTGCTAGCAGCTGGCACCACTGCCACAGCTGGGGCCTGGCCCCAGCTGACTGCCAGGGCAGCCAGCAGTGCCGGGACGGGCCTGAAGCCCCACACTGCCAACGGCCCCAGCTGGGGCTGACAGTGGTGGTGGCGGCGAGGGCTGGGCCCAGGCCCGCCAGCAGCACATGGCCAGGGGTGGGGCAGTCATCAGTGCCGGAGCCTGCGCAGGTCCATGGCCCCAGCCCACAGGGTTGGGGCCGGGGCTATCAGGGCGGCACTGGGCTGGGGCCAGTAGCGGTGCCAAGCTGGGTCTGTACCCAGGGGCTTTTCCAGGTAGCCACGTGCTGCTCAACCTGGGCATGACTCTTCCCGCCCCTCGGGGCTGGAAGCAGTCTGTGTGCCAACCAAAACCATGCTGCGTGCCACCTTTGGCACACATAACCCAGGGGTTGGCAGCCTGTGGCACAAGGAGTAGGTTAGGAATAGGATACAGGGTAGAGCAGTATCAGAGAAATACCTTAAAGCAAACAGCGGCATGGTAGCTTTTGATTACACATCTCTGTATTACTGCAGGCTATATCTAGTTAGATCAAGTAGCTTATTCACAAGCATCATCCAGAGGCAGGTGGAGATTTCCTCTGGAGGCAAGCAGTTCACTGACTATGAGTTTCAAGATAGAGAGCAAGTTTCAGATGGTCCAGCTTCTCTCCGAATTCTCATCATGGCTGCTGCCCCACCTCTTGGGCAGTCCTTAACTTATAACCCTTATGACCTCATTTACCTGATCCAATGAAGGCCAGCAATCGTTGGCTGCCAGCCAACCAATTTGAAATGCATCACTGATTGCTGGTGGATAAACTGGCTGGGTCTCTAGCCCCTTCCTATTGCTTAGAACAGGGAATTTAAGCCCCCACCCAGGTATGTGATGCCAGTCACATAGGCAGAGGGAGCAGGTTCCCCCCTCCCTCAGGAATGTAGCCAGCTCAGGTTACAACTCAAGGTTACCCAAAGTCAATGGGGCCAGAGATGTCTACCCTCTGCGGTGACCATGGTAACCAAATTTGTCAAATCAGGCATCCACCTGATAGCAGAGTTTGGGGAGAGACAGAACCCACTTGCTTCAGGTCAGCTGACCTCCATTCTTGCCATTTGTTCACTGGCATCTCTGTAATGGGAGTGTCCCATTAGGGCCTCCTTTTGAGACAGGACTTGGTGCATCAGGGAACAGACAAGTCATTTATTCATAGATGTTAGGATTGGAAGGGACCTCAGTAGGTTATCAAGTCCAACCTCCTTCTCTGGAGAAGCAGTGATGGGGTCAGATGACCCCAGGTAGGTGCTTGTCCAGTCTCCTCTTGAAGACCCCCGCAAGGTAGGAGAGAGCACGACCTCCCTTGGAGCCCATTCCAGATTCTGGCAACCTTTACTGTGAAAAAGTTCTCTAATGCCCTACCTAAGTCCGCTCTGTCAATTTGTGGCCATTGTTCCTAGTTGCTCTAGGAAGTGCCCCAGTAAATACAGCATCTCCTATTCCCTGCTGCCTTCCCCCAGTGAATTTACAGGCAGTCACAAGATCACCTCTCGGCCTTCTCTTTCAAAGGCTAAAAAGATCTAGGCCCCTCGGTCTTTGTAGGACCTTGCCTGCAGGCCTCTGACTATACAAGAGGCTGTCCTCTGAACCCTCTCAAGATTCTCAGCATCCCTTTTGAAGTGCAGTGCCCAGAACGGGACACCGTACTCTAGCTACAGCCTGACCAGTACCACAGAGGGGAAGCATCACCTCCTTGGACCTGTTAAAGTCATGCATCTGCTAATGCATGATAAAGTGCGATTATCTTTGTTGATCACTTTGTCACACTGACAACTCACATTCATCTTGGAGTCAACTAGGACTCCAAGATTCCTTTCTGCTGCTGAGACAGTCATTCCCCAGCCTGCAAGTGTGTTGGTGGTTCTTTTTGCCCAGATGCAGCACTTTAGGTAGAGGCTGCTTCCACACTTGTCTCAGAACTCACTCATGCCAACTGCAAGAGCTGTTACAGGGGAGAGCAACAGGGGTCCAAGGAACTGCAACTCCTTCTTGCAGACACTAGGGGCTTGTGGGAATGCATGGCCTAAGGATCCCGACAGGCTGGGATCAGGGAGGGCCTCATCTCCAGAGAACTTCCCAACAGCCCTTCTTACATGAAGCACAAGTGTTACACCAAGCCTCAAGAGCACCCCGCTCCGTTCCTCCTCAGCACCTGGAGTTTTGAACCAAGTCTGTTCCGGCCAGCCTTACCTGCAGCTGCCACCACTATGTCAGCCAGAATTGTGTGCTGTTTGAGTTGCTCCTTAGGAGTGTAGCGGTGCGATATTGTGACTGTCGCATCCCCTGCAAAATAAGGCCCAGTGAGCCTCAGTGTACATCAGTAGCCCACCCCACATGCATCTATCAGCTCCACCCAGGCAGAGATGAGAAGTGGACTCAAAATAAGCTGGGTACAGGCAAGGTACTGACCGCCAATAGCAGGAACACAGCCCTGCCCTGACACACTTAGTTGTGTTGCACGGGTAACAGATTTGCACCCGGTGTCATGGGCCCCCCCTACCCCATGTAGGTCCTGGTTGCTTATGCCATAAACCAGGGGTGGGCAAAATGCAGGCCAGGGGCAAGATGCCCCTAAAAAAAAAAAAAGGCCCCTAAAAAAATTTAGGGAATTAATATTGATCTGGCCTGGGCTGCCTGTTATGCAGCCCTCAATGGCTTGCCAAAACTCAGTAAGCTGCCCTCCGCCAAAAATAAATTGCCCACCCCTGCTGTAAGCAGTGGCAGCCTATGTTCCAGCATGCTGCCTCAGCCCATGAGCACCAAATGCTCATCATGAGCATTAGAAGGCAGCTTCTGACTATGAGGATGGTCTAGTAGTGGTGCAGGCTGCCTGCAAGGCCTGAATCATCTCCCCCAGGAAGTTTGCCCAAGCCAGCTGGACAGACACTTGGCTGGGGTGGTTCTGCCAGGGACTATCCCACCCTGGGCAGGGAGCTAGATGAGACAGTGGCCCAAAGTCCCTTCTAGCCCTGCTTTCCTACAATTCTGTGACCCTGTTACAATTCAGCTGCAAGGGCAGTCTCCCAGCCAAAATGACAGACCTCAAGCAACCGTTCTTCCAAGCCTGTGTCGTTACCTCCGGGGCGCTCATGTCGGCCGTCTGTGTGCAGCAGCATGGCTATTGGCATGCCCACATTCTTGGATCTGCCAGCCACAACGACGTTCTTCCCCAAGGTCGGGATCCCTGAAGTATGGGGTGGGGAAAAAGAGGGAGAGGAGAAAAAAGCCACACGCAATTGAAGGCAAAACTGAGCCCTTTGTGGTGAAAGTGCAGAGATGAACAGCGAGGCTGGTTCTATGGCTCCTACCAGTTCTCTTAATGATTTCCCACACCCCCCATGGGGTGGCTGGCAGCATGGTATATTGGTCCAGGCACATACGTCCCACGTTTATCACGTGAAAACCATCCACATCTTTGTCCGGTGTCACAGCATTGCAGATCTTGCGCTCATCAATATGCTCTGGAAAGAGGAACAGCGTTAGCCCTCAAGACCATTTAGCCAGGTAAAATGAAACCACTGAAGGCCGATCCCCAACATGCGTGCTAGGTCTCAGCACCCATCATCAGGATGAGGAAGTTGTAGGTTACAGAAATGAAGTGGCTTCCTCCCCTACTTGAAAGGGTGTGAATGGATGCCACTCTGCCTCTGAGTACAGGTAGTCAATTATCTGTCCAGAGGGTTAAAAGTTTATCCCTTGTCAAAAAAAAAAAAAAGGTATTTCTAAGGCCAAAGAGAAAACACAGGCAGGCTAGCACCATGCAAAGGTGTCAGACTCCCCAAGATAGGCAATACATGGGGAAAGGTATAAGCAACTGATACAGAGGCCCATAAAATGCCAACACCAGCAACCACCCAGGCAGAGCAGTAGCCTTTCCTCCACCAGGGCCTGTGGGTCAAGATATTTGCCTCTACCTGTGCACAAACAGCATGAGGGTAGAAGGTCATCTCCTCAGGACCATGCTTCACTGCACTGTGACCCTGTCCTCTCAGTGGAAGTCCTCTCCAAAAAGGTCTGACCAATGAGAACCCCCTAGCATGTAGCCCCAACCCACCAGGCAAGGGAAGCTGCACCAGCAGGCCATCTACATTGGTGTCATCATTCAGCTTCCCAATTAAGTCAAGTAGCTCCTCCTCGGTGACAGAGGCTGGCCGCAGGATGGTTTCACTGCTGATTCCTGCAGAGAAATGGAGAGCCCTGCATCAGGGTGACAGGTCACATCCACACCCTGGCTGGATGTGAACATTCCCCAATTTTTGGGCATCTGCACAGAGAACCCCTCCTGAGGACCAACTGCTGTGAAAATACAAAGGCTGCAAAGTCAACCTCCCCCATCCCTTGAAGGAGACCCAACATGGATGGCAGGCCTCCACAGAAACAGCGCCCATTGAAGCCAAAGCCAATCCTAACCCTAAATCCAGCTGGGGGGAGAAACACGCAAGCACGGCTGCCACTGAGGTAAGTGCCAAAGAACACCTTGGGGCCTGCCAAGTGCCCCCAAACCCAGAGCACCGAGGCGGCACGGAATAAGCGCTCAAAGCAGCCATGCTCATGTGGGCCATCTCCGAGTGGCACTGGAAACACAAAAGCCACAAACAAGCAGACAAGTAGTGTGGCTTCCCCTCCCAGCAGATTCCATCGAGCACCCCAGCACCCACCCAACCAGGAAGAAGGGCTGCTTAGTGACTGGTGCTGGCAGCTTTGGCTAGGGGACAATGCAGAAGTACCTGCAAGAGTACAGACCACAGTAGAAGTCTGAGAAGGACAAAACTAAACCAGCCCCTGCACCTGAGGGGCAAGACCCTCGGCCAAGCCGCAGCTGCAGGAAGCGGCAAATGGCCCTGGTAGTTTGTGTTAAGAATTCCCCATGATGCACGGAAAGAAACAGCAGAGCTATTGTCTCAGAGCACAATGGGCCACCATCACCTATGGCTTGGATTCAGGTGGAGCGCCACCTCCCAGACCTGGAGGACTAAATCCCAGCAGTGGGCAAAAATGGACATATATTGCCATGGACCAATACAAGCCCCCTGTAGAGCAAAGCTGAAGGCGACAGAGCTCTAGAACCGATCCAGAAGTAGGGAGGCCAACACCGAAAGAGCGCAAGTACGTACCAACATCGGCAGCAGCCTTGGTTTTGTTGAGGACGTAGGAGTGACTGGCAGGGTTCTCACCGACCAGAACCACACTGAGATGGGGCCTCTTGTTCCCGGCAGCCACCCACTGTTCAACCTCGTGTCGGGCTTCCTGCCTGATCTGCCGTGCCAGTTTCCTTCCCGAAATCACAACTGCCTCATTTCTGCAACAGAGACCATTACCTCAGATGCGGAAAGCAGGAACTCGCACTAGCCCGTGCCACCCCTCCCTACCCCCAGCCTCACAGAAACGTTTGAGGCACAGGAGTGCAGGCGAGGCTGGTCATGGCAGCAAAGACCACTTCAGCAAGAGCCCATTACTAGTGCTGCCGCTGTCCTGCCAAGAGCAGCATACAAGGCAGAGGCCAGGCTGCCTCCAAGAGAAGCAGGTGGGCCCAGTGACATACCCACTTGTGAGGCCCACCCCAAAACAGGACATTCATTTGTAACAAACGCCATGAGCGTATAGGCAGCCTGGTAAGAAGAGACCACAGTGCAGCACATTGCTCACAATGCGTGAACTGGGAAGACCTGGATCCGTTGGCAGGTTTTTCTGGGAGACAAAGGCCTGTCAAGCCTCTCTGGCAAACATTTTTGCTTAGCACACAAGGGTGTTAAGCAAGACTCCTGCTTCCCACATGCCCATGGCAGAACCTCCCTGCAACAGGGCATGCCAGCCACAGCATTATAAATAGAGGCTTAGAGCAACCAAGGTCAGGTGAGTGCATTTAACTGATGCAGCCTGAGACTATATTCTTTGTTCTACTT